ACACTCTGCCTGGGCGACTCACTTCACCATACAACCTGACGAACTGGGGGAGCAGCCTCAGCACCAGATATTCCCTTGAATCATATGTAATATTACCAAGGAGAGCTTTGGGACAAATTTACTTCCAGACTGTCTCAGCTTTTTCTTTCTATTAACCTATGAGATCAGCAAGCTGAAGCCTACAGAGAGCCACAAATTGAATTCACTTCTTTCATCTAATTACATATCTGGGGTTGTTGCTCAGCCCTCAACAAGACAAGCATCAGGGCCATGACTGGGGTGAGAAGAGAAGGAGCAGGTAAGGCACAAAATGCTAGGCAGCACTCACCCAGGTCACACAGGTGTGTCCTGAGTGTCTCACCTGCTGCTCTGTAAACTGGGCCCTGGGGGACAAACCTCAGCACAGTAAAGGAGGTTTGCTAAGGGAATAAAAATTCTAAGGAGAATGAGGGAAAGGGCTCTCAGAGAAAAGATTGTTGTCCCACAAAGGAGATACAGTACATTGATTCAACATTATTCAAGGAGACAAAAATCTGGGCCAGTAAATGGGCTGACTTCAGCTTCAAAAAAAAAAAAAAAATGCTACTATGATATACCAAGACAGATATTTATAGAGCAGTATACCAAGTGCTTTACACAGAAATGTCATTCATCCTCACAACTCTAAGATCTGTTATCGATGCATTATGCAGATGAAGAAATGGAGAATGAGAGAGGTTCCAAGCGTCAGATTTAGGGTCACAGAGTTGCTAAGTGACAGTCAGGGCTAGAAATCAAGCCCAGGCCTGGCTGTTCTGAAAGCCAGGTTCTTAACTCTGACACCAAGTTCCTTTATATTAAATTATAAAAATTAAAACATGAAATTGCACTTGAGCAAAATCCCTACGGCCATCTGTCAGGGATATTATAAAAAAGACCTCAAAAAGGAATTAGAAGAGTAACCTCTAAGGTATGTTGCCAAACCAATGTGGCAGCAGAGGTTTGCAGTGAGCTAAGATAATTGACACTCGGGAGGCCCACCAGCCTGGGGCATGGAAATTCCAGGTGACTTGCCATATCCCAGTGAAGCATATAAATAAACATTGCCATGGGGGCATGATGTGAAAGGGACCAGGAAGCACTGGGAGAGTAAAAGACCTGTTTTTTCTATCTCATTAACATTGCTATGGATTTGGAGTTCTGATACTGAAACCTGGCAACAGGGCAGAATCAGCTGGAAGCACTTCTTTAAAGTCTGATGCCTAAACCCATTCCTGAGAGTTATATCAGAATCTACAGGAGCGGACTCCAGGCATCCAAGTGACTTTATTATATAGCCAAGACTAAAAACTGCTGTAGGTGACAGAGTTCAGAAAGGGGAAAAAATATTAAGCCATGTATAAGTTGGCTTTTGTATAAAAAAGAGCACTAGCTGTAAAGCAGGTGTTATGTGATAGTAATCTGAAGAACTAAAAAATTAAATTATGAATCTTGCTCCAATTGTTATTCTTCATTTGTTTTAGTACTGAGAATTGAACTCAAGGACAGTTTACCACTACGCTATATTCTCAGCCCTTTTTATTTTTTATTTTGAGATAGGGTCTTGCTAAGATGCTAAGGCTAACCTTTGAACTTACAGTTCTCTTGCCTCAGCTTCCAAGTTGCTGGATTAGAGACATGCACCACAGTACCCAACTCTAAGTAATACTCCTTTGGACCAATAGAACCTTTTTGTGTGTCAGGGGAGGGGAGGGTGCTGGGGATTGAACCCAGGACTTTGTGCATGCGAGACAAGCACTTTACCAACTGAGCTATATCCCCATCCTCCAATAGAACCTTGAATATCATGATATTATGGTTGTCCCAAAGTCAATTTGGTTATACATACTTAGATTCTTTTTCATAGATATTTATGGTAACCCCAAAAGAAGTTTAAGATGAGGAGAATTAGACATTTCTGCACTGCCTTGCTACAAGTTATCATGCAAACAAGATTCTGACTAAATTCTGCAAATACTTTATTAAATAAGCATGCACTGGTAAGCAAGCATAAACAGTTTGTCAATCTGTTTCACAAGCTCAATGAATTCCCAACTCTATGTCCTTCAGATGCTCCAAGGCTCACTGAGGCTGACAGTGACATTTCCTAGAAGGTGCTGTGCCCTACTGGAGATGCACTCAAATCAGAAATCCACCAGAACCAATGACAGGATGCCACACTGATTTGAGATCAAACCTCAGATATCACCTGGTTTTAAGTAGTTATGTACCTAGTAGATTCTCCTCAAGAGTTCGTACATGGGGGACAAGGAAGTGTCTCTAAATCTACCTTAGCCAATCTGCAATTTCACCAATGAGATCCCACTTCTAACACTTGCTAACTTAGAAGTTACTTGTTTTTCCAGTAAAACTCCTTGTGGGCATTTAGATTGTTGTCAAGGCTTCTGTTGTACCACAGTTCATTGAAGAACTTTTAGTTTTTAATGCAATGCTAGCTGTAAACTTGGCAGTGTGTTAATTGACCAACCAAGTATAGAAGCAAAGCTTTAACTGCACATTCACTATCTCACTCTGGTTACAATGTAAACTACAGCCATTCTAGCAATGGCATAAAGCAGCATGGGGACCATTTAGTACTGAGTATACAGAGTTTTAAGTTACTATGAGTGTGAAAATAGTGGCTAACAGAGGTAATTAGATGTATATGAAGTTATCTTGTACATTTTTTCTTTTTTATATATGACAGTGGAATACATTACATTCTTACCACACATATAGAACACAATTTTTCATTTCTGATTGTATACTAAGTATATTCACACCAATTCATGTCTTGATACATGTACTTTGGATAATAATGATCATCACATTCCACCATCATTTATAACCCCAGTCCCCTTCCTTCCCCTCCAACCCTTCTGCCCCATCTAGAGTTCATCTACTCCTCCCATGCTCCCTCTCCCAATCCCACTATTAATAAGCCTCCTTATATCAAAGGAAACATTCAGCACTTGGTTTTATCTTGTACATTTTGAAGATATTGATATTAACAGCGTTTCTAATGCACAGAGCTGTGATTGAATTTTTCCATAGTTTATACAATAGATGGCCTAATGCTAATCAGCCTCTGCTGCTTACTTGCAAGGGCTACTGCAGAACCAGGCCTGGGCTAACACCTGTGAAGTTTCCAAGTACAAATGGCAAAGAATGGATGAATTTCTTAACACCAATTGGTGACTTATTCTTTACACTTGCATCTGTAATTTCCCTGATTCAAGGAAGTTAGACTGGTGCTCTTAGCAATGTCTTTAATTTTCTTTGTGTTTACAAAGTTAGCTTTTGACACACTTTAGTGCATTGCCAATTGGAGGACATTTCTGGGGGGAAAAAAAAGAAGTAATAAAACACATATTATTTTACATGTGATTCTCTGAAAGCAAACCTACATGTTTACCAGTTCCTTGAAGGAGATATTCAGTTTTTATGATCATTTTAAACCAATATTTACTAAGCAACCACAGCAGACAAAACTACACACAAATCCAAATAGATGACAAAGTCGAAAGATGCCTTGACAGACACTAAGCAAATGTCAGAGTACATATCAAACTGAGGAAGAAGGGAGGAGTAACAGATTGACCAGTGACATTTTTGACCAGTGACACATTTTAGCAACCCATAATGATATGGTCTCAGTTTAGAAACTGCCATTTAATAACTTCCTAAAATATTTTCTGACATAAAGTAAAAATAGAAACCACTATTTAGCTCTAAAACAAGCTTTAATATGACTAAAAGATATATGCAATAGAAGAGAAAAATGAAACTTGACCTTTTCATTGCCAGTAATAACTGGCCATAAAAGTATCATGCCTGCATTTACAAGAAGAAGCAGGCTGTCACGTTCAACTCCATGAGACACCATTCCTTTCCTGCCTTAAACAATGGCAGCATCATTAGGGTGAGCTCAATCTTCCCAGGGCTTCTTCATGACTAAAGAAGCCCAACTTGAAGATGCAGATGTTTAGGGTTTGGAAGTAAGCAAAGTCCGGTTCTATCACTTCTATTTCTGTGTCTGCCTGATATTATAAGAGCAAACCACTTCATCTTCTCATTGGGTTTTTATATGTGCCATGGGTACCATTTGGATCTAGTCCTAGAGAGAAAGCCATATACTGTAGAAACCAATTAACTCTGGCAAAGAACAAAGAGTTCAAGGTGCAACAGGAGAACCAAGAATCATTACTGACTCAAAGTCCCTTGTGTGTGGTAAAAGCCAGTGATAGGAAATTTAATATTTAATTCTTCAACTTTTTTTTTTAAGATCTCAACTACACAACAGCCAGCCAAAGTTTTCAAAGTCTGAGGAGCAAAGTAAGCCAGAACAAACTAGAATATGCTTCACTCGTGATTTATGTGTGATTTGTGTTGGTATACAAACATACAGCAGAAAACTTAATTGTGCAGTACTGGAGTGGGAGGGCTGGACTAGGGAAAGGAAAGCCAGAAGCAAAATTGAAGGGAGTGTCAGAAAATTCAGTATTCAAGATAAATAACATTTACTGCAATATGTACTAAAACTCAAAATTAATACAAAAATTCATAATAAACAAAATATCCCATGAAAAAAAGAATTTTAAATAAAGAAGTGTCATACCAGATACCAGAGAAAAAGAATCAGTAATATCTATCATGACTTGATTTGAACACTTGATTTGGGGTCCTTCATGGATTCTTTTTTTTTATTATTATTATTAATTTGAGTCTTTTAAATATGGCATAAAAGCATTGCTCATTTCGAGATTTTGGAAGCTCTCTTACATTTTGCCATACAGGTAAGTACCTTGCTCAGCTTACCCTCATCACCGGGCCCTGGGGTCCAGCATCAGTTCCTAGAAAGGCTGTAAAGCAAACCCTGCCGCCTGGGGGACCAGGGTGCTGTGCTCCCCATGGTCCCCAAGGGAAGGAAGGGCCAGAGGTAGGTGGGAGAGCTGCAGCCTGGGGGCGCGACCCCAGCCTACCTCGCTTATTCTGTGTGCCGTGCTTCTTGGCCAGGGACAGTTCTCTCTGGATTCGGTTCTCCAGGTACTCTTGTTTCTTGCCCAGCATCTCCTCAGTCTCCCGAAGTCGGGCCAGGCCTTCCTGGGGGCTGGGAGCAGCCCGGGTCCTAGAGGAGCCTCCCCCTTTAAAGAACTTGCCCAACTTGCTCATGGCTGTGGAGTTGGAGGGTAGTGCTGTGCCGGGGCGTCTCTCCGTATCTCCCCAGGGCTGCGCCCAGGGGACAAGGGGGCGAGAAAGTCTAGACCCAGCAGGCGACGCTCCAGGGAATCAACAAGTTGCGGGCGCAGGTGACACACACTCCTGGGCATTTCCTGGCTGCCAGCTCGGCCCCGCCCCTCAGCGCTACAGGGAGGGGAGGGCAAACCATTCCGAGGCGGCCAGCCGGCGCCACCCGCCCTCTGGGAGTTGTGGGAGAGCAGAGAAAAGTTGAAAGGGGCAGAAAGACTGCGCCAAAGTTGCTGCCTGATCCACGCTAGGGACGCACCCAGGGATGCGAATGGCTCCAGGGGGCTTGTGCAGTACCTGAACGCGTTTGTAACAAGTGCGCTTTGCCTACGTGGAATATAAGATGGTGTGGGTGGGTGGGTGTGTGCGCGCGCGCGCGCGCGCGCGCGCTCAGGTCTCTGTTCTTGTGAATAAGAATACTCGGATATTTTCCTCCAAGTGTGTGTCCTGTAGGTAGAGGTGTGTGGCTTCCGGGACATTTGCCTGCCCCTATCATGAAGGTGTGTGGGCAAGTTAAGAGCAGCTGCTCTGATTGGCTGGTCAGCATTTGTGTAGTCCAGGCAGGTTGGTATGTGGCTAAGCGCCAGCCAGTTGGCATGAGTGTATCTAAATTATTTTTACATATTTTCAAGTGAGAGATGGTGGCTATTTGTTTTCCAAAGTCAGGACTTCTCAGTGTGTTTAGTGGTTGCATTGACGTCTATAATTAAAAATCTGAAGCTTTCTGTGTGATTGGCAGTGTATCAATAACCTTAAATGGAGCTTCCCTTCTGTTTGAATTTTGTCAGATGCCTTTACATAAACACTTAAGTAACAAAAAGTAGAAAACGTCCTAGAGAAAAGATACATTATTTAGGTCATGCTCATTATCTTTGTCTCATCTATTAGAGCTGCAAGCAAAGACTTTGGTAAAATGAAAAAATATATGTAATGATTATGGATGAATCAATGCAATCAAAAATCTGTGTTGAGTATGCTACAAAGAAGTGGCATGTGAAATTTTGTCTATGTTCCAGTTTTCAAAGATTAGCAAGGTCCACTGCATAATGCAGCCCTATTTGAGCAACATCACCCAACATCATCAGAACCTATTTGTAACTGTTAGTAAACCACTGCTAAAAGGGAAAACAGCATCCATTATTCTAACAAATTCACCTTGATACCCAAGATCAAGGGCCTAATTTTGTCTGCCATCATATTAACACAGAAGAAGAAATTATTGCATTTTATCCAACATTGGAATAGCTAGCATCAAATTTTGCTAAAACAAACGTTTTAATAGGAAACTACCAATATACATCACACACACATACAACACACACACACACACACACACACACACGAGCTTACCATTTCCCGGTAACTGCAGCCAGCTACAAAAAATTCATAAACATGTTTTAAACTTGCTTTCTTAATTTGATTTCAAGCCCCTTAAAAATTGAGTAGTATACATATCCTATTATGTTTCCCATTAATGACCAGTTGGCCCAAACTTTATGAATATATTCTTTAAAAAAAAAAAAAGTTTTTCTTCTTCCTTTATTCCTTCCTTTCTCTCTCCTCCTCTTCCTCTTCTTCTATTTTCTTTCTTTCTTTTGGTACTGAGGACTGAGCCCAGAGGTACTGTATCACTGACAAGCTTCATTCCCAGCATATTTTTTTTAATTTTAGTTTTTAAATTTTGAGACAGGGTCTCCTTAAGCTGATGAGGCTGGCCTTGAACATGATATCCTTCTGCCTCAGCCTCCTGAATTGCTTGAGTATATTCTACATATGAGAGACTGAGAATGCAGGTATAGTTCACTCTCTGGGAGCTTATTGTCTAGGTATCATAGTAGTAGCTGCCATCTTTTGACTGCCATTGTGTGGCAAGAATGCTACATGCATTATCAATAACCCCTATATAACCCCACAAGATAAATATTCCCTTTTATGTTTGACAAAGGAAGTACATAAGGCTCAATTGGTCACACATAAGAGTGAAGACAGCTTTCTGTTTTAAAACTTATGGTGTTGTCACGATTTATGTGGCCTTCTTTCCCTGAGTTGATACATAAAAGAAATTCATTACGTAGTTGTTTGATTAAATGATATGATGTGAAGAGGTTATGAAAAAGCATCCAACTTAAAGACTCCTACATGTATTAATGAATTCACAGAGGGCTACATTTACATAGGAACTGTCCAGTTTGCCAAATTTTTTGTAGTTCACCATTCTACTTTTTTGTTAGAAGAATATTGAACAAGTGGAACAGAGGGACTGAAAGTTATAAGGGGAGCTACATAATTATCCACTCACCTATGTTCTCATTCTTCAGATATTTATTGAATATCTCTATGTCCAAGGAATTGTGCTAGTGGTATTGTGTCATATTATTAAGAATAAGAACCACTTTTTTTTTGTCCAAGAAAGTTTATGCCTTAGGGGAGAAGTCAAAAGTTGAACAAATTATCTCACAAATAATGAGCTTTATAAATTAATTTTATAAAAAGTTCTATAGAGGACAGCAACTATAAGAGTAAATAATAGAGGAAACTGGTCTTGTCTTAGGATCAAAGAAAAATAGTCTGAAAAAGTGACACTTAAGCTAGAATTTGAGTAATAAATACAAGTTCCATAAGTTTTCAGAAGGGAAATCAGTGTTCTAGTATAAGAAATCACTCATTCCTTTCTTTCCTCCTTCCTTCTTTCATTTATCATTTTTTCCTTAGTGCATTTTCTATAGCCAACACAGTTCTAGATGGGGAGATTCAGTAGCAATTAGACAAAAATCCATGGATTTTTGTTGCCTGTGTTCTAGATAAGGGGAGACAGACAATTAATTAAATAAGAAAATAATGTACCAAATGGGCTCTTTGGGGGAAAATGGGGACTAGTTGAGAATTGAAATTATAAATAATACATACAAATATCTCAAGTCTGTAGTATTAACATTTGAAGGAAGGCCAGTATAAGTGGGGTTTGGAGACAGAAGAGCAGAATGTGGAAAGATTGCCTTCAAAGGTAGCATCCTGATCACAGAGGATCCACACCATGTGCTAAGGACCCATATTTTATCAGAAGAGCAACTGAAAGTCAATCACAAGGTAAAATAAAGAATCTGGTTATTAATCTGTAAATTCAGTGGAAAAAGTAATTTACCCAATTTAATGTGTAGCATTTTCAGAAACATGTGGTATGCAAAGCAAGACACGTTTAAATTAAAAATCATTCCCTTCCATTAATACATAAATTCAATGGGGAAAAGATAATACTTGAAAGCAAGTAAACCATCCAGATATGTATTAGTGTTTAATCCAGCAGCGGGATGTAGAAAATAAATTTTTAAATCAATGATTTAGAAGCTGAAAATAACACATTAATCTTCATTCAATACTCATCCTACAAATGTGATTTCATAAAGAGTTCTCAGCATCTAGTGTATTTTTCATTTTCTAATCTCAATTGATCTCAGCTAATAAGGAGGCTGTTGTTCAAAAGAATGATCTTGTTCAGGATGATTTACCATGGTTAAGATAGCAAAGGAAATTGGAAATTTATAGATCTGTTAAAAAGACCTAGATGTCAGGCTAATTGATACATTTTGGCCACCCCTTGAAATTGCATCCATTTTTAGAATGCCAAATGAGCTCTCTAAAGCAACAGAAGAAGAATTATCCTTTAAACATACTGCAGAATAATCATCAAATAGTTATTTATTAAGCAGCTCAACAAGCATGTACACATTCTTTTCATCAGCAGTTCTTTTTAGCTTCTTAGAACCAAATACTCATTGTATGTAATACTCAATCACAATAATGAGTACAAAAGTAGCCATTATGAAAAATAATAATTTTGCAAAACTACAAGTTTGATTACCCTAATTCATAATGAAAATATATGATGCTTGTGACTGAATTTCGCCTGTGTTGCTCTTTGTTCACGTTCCTCATATCTTTGTCCATCTTTGATCAGAAGTTAAAAAAAAAAGCCTAAGGTTTATCAGACTTGGCTTTAAAGTGTTTTCTACACCACACTTAATGGATGTAAAATGTAGCCCTGCACACAGCTCAATGTCACTCTTATTATACAACCTTCTAAAAGCTAATTTTTACACTTTCCTTTTTCCTCCAGAATTTAATTATTCTTGAATAGAATCACATGAGATTTGAACCTAATCCCAAAACAATAGATTCTCCCCAGTCCAGTTTCTTTCTTTCTCAGTTAATGATAACCCCGGGCTTCCTTTTGCTTAGGCCAAAAGAAATTATCCTTAGAATTATCCTTGAAGCACATTCAATCCATCAGCAAATCCGGGGACTCTAACACAGAAACCTGACTCCTTGTCACCACCAACACTGCTAATGTCACACTTCATGCTGTGAGCCAGTCATATCTTCCCTGGATTATCCCTGGAGGGACATCTGACTGAATTCCCTATAAACACCCTGATCTTGCCATAGTCCCTAGATGGCAGCCAGAGTGAGCTACGTCAGAATCCTCCAATGACTTCCCATCTCACTCCAGTTAAAAGCCAAAGTCTTCACAAATGTCTTCAAACCCTCACATGAAGTAATACTGACCCCCAGCCTTACCCAAGCAGGGCCCCCCTGTCCATACATCCTATCCCTCTCCCTGGTCCACTCTGCACTAGCCCCACTGGCCTGTAATACACCAGCACGATCTCCCAGCTGAGTCTCTGCCCAAGCTGCTCCTCTGCCTTCTGACTTACTCCCAGACATCTAATTTGTTCACCCCTCACCTTCTTTGGGTCGTTTTATGAAATCACATTGTCACCCCACTGTATTTTAAATCACCTCCCTAACCTCTCATTCCCTATTTCCTACAGAATATGTATCCCCTTTCTTGGCTTTATTTTTCTTCATAATACTCACTACCATCTGTTATATGCTGTTTTTTTTTTTTTTAATTCTGTTTATTTTCCATCTCCATTGCTTCCAGAACCATCCTCATGAGAGCAGAGGTTGGTCACCAGTACCTTCCCAGTTCCCAAAGCTAAGCCTGGCACATTGTAAGATCTCTATTAATATTCACTGAATGCAGGGAGGAGGGAAGGTAGGGAGAGAGGGAGGGCTGGAGGGAAG